TCATAGATGTGCGTGCAGCCAGCCATTCTAGCATAGCATGTGCACGCCACTGGCCCTGTCCCCTGGCCACTGGACCCAGAGGTGCAACTGAGGACCCTAACAGCCCTCACAGCTTCAACATAATGAAGGGTAAAAATCATATGATCATCTCAGTAGATGCAGAAAAATTTTGACAAAATTCAGCATTCTTTAATGATAAAGACTCTCAATAAATTAGGTATAAAAGGAATGTGCTACATTACATATGGTAATGAAAACCATACATGATGAGTCCAAAGCTAACATTATACTCAATAGTGAAAAGCTGCAAACTTTTCCTCTAAGATCAGGAAGAAGACAAGGATGCCTACTCTCACCACTGCTATTCAACATGGTACTGGTAGTCCCGGCCAGAGCAATTAGGCAAGAAAAGGAAATAAAAGGCATTTAAATTGGAAAATAAGAAGAAAATTTGTCTCTGTTTGCTGATGACAAAAATCATATGATCATCTCAGTAAAGTTGAGGAATATAAAATGAATTCAGTAAAGTTGAGGAATATAAAATCAACATACAAAAATCAGTTGCATAATATACATTATCAATGAGCTATCAAAAAAAAGAGAAAGAAATGAAGAAAACTATTTCATTTGCAATACTATCAAAATGAATAAAATACTTAGGCATAGATTTAACTAAGGAGGTGAAATATCTCTACACTGAAAACTATAAAACATTGAAAGAAATTAAATTTGACACAAATAAATGGAAAGATAATAAATATTCATGGATTTTAAAAATCTATGCTGTTAAAATGTCTATATTATCCAAAGTTATCTACAAATTCAATGCAACCTCTAGCAAAATTCCAACAGAATTTTTCATAGAAATATAAAAAGAATCCTAAAATTCATATGGAACCCCAAAGGATCCCAAATAGCCAAACAATCTTGAGTAAGAAGAACAAAGCTGAAACAAAATAGATAATTCAGAATTAAAAACCCATATATATATGGCCAACTAATTTTTGACAAGGGCACCAAGAATACACAGTCTCTTTAACAAAAGGACAGTCTCTTTAACAAATGATGCTGAGCGAACTCTACATCTACAAGCAAAAGAATGAAATTGGACCCTAACCTCACACCATAGACAAAAATCAACTCAAAATAGATTAAAGAACTAAATGTAAGATCTAAAACCATGAAAGAAAACATAAGAAAAAGTTCCTTGACATTGGTCTTGGGGTATGATACCAATAATTTTTGGGGTATGATACCAAAAGTACAGGTAATGAGAGCAAAAATAAACAAGTGATATTACATCAAACTAAAAAGCATTTGCAGAGCAAAAAAATAACCAAATAAAAAACATATAGATTGAGAGAAAATACTTGCAAACCATATATTGGATAAGGGGTTAACATCTAAAATATATAAGGAACTCATACAACTTAAAAGCAAAAAAATAAAATCTGATTTTTAAATGGGCAAAGGATATGAATAGACATTTTTCCAAAGAAGATACGCAAATGGCCAGAAGGTACAAGAAAAGGTGCTCAACAACACTAATCATCAGGAATGTAAATCAAAACCACAATGTGGTACCACCTCACACCTATTAGGATGGCTATGCAGTGACAGTACAATTAAAAAGTGACCATGACACAGCTCCCTAAAAAAAAAAAAGACATAAGATAACAAAAGTTGACAAGGACGTGGAGAAAAGGAACTCTTTTACACTGTTATTGGGAATGTACATTAGTACAGTCACTATGGAAAACAGTATGGAAGTTCTCTCCAAAATTAAAACTAGAACTCATATGATTCAGCAATTCCATTTGATATGAAATCTATATGTCAAAGGGATACCTGCACTCCGCAGGTTCATCACAACATTATTCACAATATCCAAGATATAGAAACAACCTAATTGTCCATCAAGAGATGAATGGATAAGGACATTATGGCATATGGCATATACTGGAATAGTATTCAGAGATAAAAAGAAGGAAATCCATGAATAGGTTATGTTAACTTAATGTTTACTGAACATTATATTAAGTGAAATAAATCAGACACAAAAAGACGAATACTGTATGATTTATATGTAGAATCTAAAATAATCACATTCATAAAAGCAGAGAGTAGAATGGTAATTGGCAGGGGCTTGTGGGAGGTGGAACAAGAAAGGTGATGGTTAAAGGGTGCAAACTTTTAGTTATGCAAGAGGAGTAAGTTCTGGAGATCTACTCTGTAGTGTAGTGCCTATAGTTAACAATACTGTGTTGAACACTTAAAATTGCTAAAGGAGAAGATCTTATACTGTGTACTTACCAAAGCAACAATGCTACTAATAATCAGGGAATGGGAGGAAAAAATGCATAGTGAAACAGAAAGAGTAAGGAATTATATCTAAATATATTTGAATAATCATGTATTAAAGGTGACATTTTAATTCAATGAAAAAAGTGTAAATTATTGGCTAGACATTTAGTGGGAAATGTTATGTATCAACCTCCTTCATTTCTATAAAATAAATTCCAGATGACTTAAAGATTATTGTGCAATAAGAAAAAAAGTAGAAAATTCAGTGATTTTATACTATTAGAGTTGAGAAAGTTGAGAATAATGCTAGAAAATAGGAAGGAAAAGAATGATCGATTTGATTATATGCATTTTAAAAATATTGGTGTAACAGGCAGACAACACACATGTGTGCACATACATACACAAAGGGAATTGGCAAACTGGAGAATATATTTTAAACTTACATAATAAATAAGGGGGGGATCAAAGATAGTAATAAACTCATTAATCAGAGGGAAATGCTAATGGAAAAATAGGCAATGAATATAGTTAAGAACTAAAAATAGTCAATAACTATTTGAAAAGATCAACACCACTAGTAAGCCAAGAAATGCAAATTAAGCAATAGGGATATATGCTTTTACCTTTTTCCCTGTTTCAGATGGACAAATGTCAATAATTATTTTTACCCAGAATTAATAAGAATAGAAGCAAATGAATATCCACACACTGATATAAGAAATATAAACCAATGTAACCATCAGGAAGTTCAAGTATAATATGAAGGAAGCTAATTAATATACACATTTAAATATATCTAAGTTCAATATGTTTGTCATTTTGACCCAGTTTTTCTATTTCTAGAAATGTATCATAAGGAAATAATTGAAGTTATATAGAGAGAGGATTGTTACCTGTTTCTCTGTAATAGAAGAAAACTGGAAATGCATAACAATAGGTTAGTCAAATAAGTTATGACATAGACATATAATAAAATACCATGTAGCCAATAAACTCTTCAGACTTAGGTCTACAGTTATTAACATAGAAAGATAAAATCATAATATGGAACTCTCATTTGTGTGAATGAACATATATATAAATATATAAAATGGATAAAATTATGCAAGAACAAAACTGGTAGAATGAAAATGTTGATAATAGTAATTATTTTGAGGTTGTGGGGCTAAAGGTGATTTTCACTTTCTTCTTATGATTTTACATGTATTCTGAAGTTTTTTCTACAATATGCCTGTATTACTTTTTTTTTTTTTTTTTTTTTTTTGAGATGGAGTTTTGCTCTTGTTACCCAGGCTGGAGTGCAATGGCACGATCTCGGCTCACCACAACCTCCGCTTCCTGGGTTCAGGCAATTCTCCTGCCTCAGCCTCCTGAGTAGCTGGGATTACAGGCACACGCCACCATGCCCAGCTAATTTTTTTTCTATTTTTAGTAGAGACGGGGTTTCACCATGTTGACCAGGATGGTCTCGATCTCTTGACCTCGTGATCCACCCACCTCAGCCTCCCAAAGTGCTGGGATTACAGGCTTGAGCCACCGCGCCCGGCTGTATTACTTTTATAATTAGAAAAATACAGCTATTTAAATTTTAGAAATTGTTTTGACTTCTAAAAAATCAGGGATACATTTTGATGCAGTGGCTCATGCCTGTAATCCCTGAACTTTGGGAGGCCAAGGCAGGTGATTTTGTTGATGGATCTAGGCAAAGTAAAGTGAAAACTTTCTGGAAAGGACTTACTATTCTAGATGCCTTTAAGAACATTTGTGATTCATGGGAGGAGGTCAAAATTATCAACATTAACTGGAGTTTAGAAGAAGTTGATTTCCACCCTCTTGGGATGACTTTGAGGGCTTTAAGACTTCAGCGGAGGAAGTAATTGCAGATGTAGTGGAAATAGGAGGACTGGAATTAGAAGTGGAGCCTGAAGATGTGACTGAATTCCTGCAATCTCATTAAAAAAGCTTAAATAGATGAGGAATTGCTTCTTACAGATAAGCAAAGGAAGTGATTTCTTGAGATGGAATCTACTTTTGGTGAACATGCTGTGAACATTATTATAATGGCAACAAAGGATTTACATTATTACATAAACTTAAATGAGAGGACTGACTCAAATTTTGAAATTCTGTGTGTAAAATGCTATCAAGCAACATTGCATGCGACAGAGAAATCTTTCTTGAAAGGAAGAGTCAACCCATGCAGCAAACTTCAGCATTGTCTTATTTTAAGAAATTGCTACAGCCACCCCAGCCTTCAGCAACCACCACCCTGATCAGTCAGTGGCCATCAAAATCAAGACCTTCCAGCAGCAAGAAGATTACCACTTGCTGAAGGCTCAGATAGTCATTAGCATTTTTTAGTAGTGGTGTGTACTTTGGTTTTTTAAGAAGGACATATGCTCCTGCACATTTAATAGACTACAGCATAGTGTAAACAAATTTTTTTTTTAAAGTTCCAGGGTACATGTGCAGGATGTGCAGGTTTGTTACATAGGTAAACATGTGCCACTGTGATTTGCTGCACTTATCAACCCATCACCTAGGTATTAAGCCCAGTATACATTAGCTATTTTTCCCTCCTCCCCTCTCCTCACAACAGGCCCCAGTGTGTGTTGTTCCCCTCCCCGTGTCTATGTGTAAACACAACTTTTCTATACACTGGGAAAAACTCAACGCTTGCGTGACTTGTTTTATTACAATATTCGTTTTATTACAATATATTTGTTTTGTTTATTCGTTTATAGCCAGGACAGAACCTGCAATAACTCTGAGGTGTGCTTGTATGTTGCTGTTTGATTCTAGGTAAGCCAGTCAATGAGCCTCCTTCTTTTTAAATGAGAAATAATAGCTGGCCCTCCCCATAATAGGATTGTTGTGGCCTCCAGTGGGCCAAAGCATGTGACAAGTACATACCATAGGCAAGGTCAGGGTGCTCACGTTACTGAGGACTCAACCAACTCTTGACCATGCTACTTCCTAAGCATCCATAACACAACTTGCTCGAAAAACCCATCCAAAATGTGGCAGCAACAGAAGCTTGAGTTGGGGTCTTTTATAAATAAACTTGAAAGTAGATAGAGGGGCTTTCCATCCCCCAACTAGAAGGAGAATGAGTGTCATGTCTGAATCAGGAGGAAAGTGAAGGTTCCCATCAGGAGCCGTTATCTAAGCATCCGCGCTGTGACACTTTGGTCAGCCATGGGGCATGAGTTTGCAGCTGAAAGACTGTGCTTAAAATTCAACACTTCAGCGTTAAAAATAACCAAGGCCTTCTGCCAACACAGTGTGTCATGTTTATTGGGCTATTCACAGGTAAGCTGAAAATACAAAGAAAAGACCAGGTATCATCAGGAATGTCAAGAAACAAAATATTTAGCATTTCTTAGTTTCAGATGTTACCATTTCATTGCAGTTGAGAAATATAGGCCATCTGCTGACATAACTGCAATGGGTGAGGCTTATTTTTAGCAACAAGAAGCACATACATTTAACCAATGACTTTTAGGACAAGAAGCAAAAAAGAAAACAATATTTTCATGTAGCAAGGACAAGAAAATCATTTATACAAATTAAATTGATACAAAATACATTATAAAGAGAACACACGTAAAAAAGTCATTAAGTTGGTCAGCGAGCAAAGGATGTCACAGAACACCACACTGAGAGCACATTGGTGTGAATTCATTTCAGTTACGAAAGTTATGTCCAGTTTGTGTCACACAATTACTGAGGTAAAGGCACGATCACTTCAACATAATTAATGGGGAAGAATCCGGACTCCCCGTGCATCATCCCTTCATACCAGTTTTCGTCTATCTGATTGGTTAGCGTGATGATGTCCCCTTCTTTAAATCCTAATTCCCCTTGGTTCTCTGGCTCAAAGTCATAGAGACCACGACAGCAAGGCTGGTCCACGGGAATGTTAGAACCTGTCCACGTGACATGGAGACAAAAAGTAAAGGTTAATATGACCCATTATCCACGGGAAACTGGAAATGTGGAAAAGCTTGGAGAGACCCTGAACAGCAGGCCCTGCTTTTTTCCCATGACAAGGCCAGCTCCATCCAGCTCATGGGTGCTGTTCGTGGTCTATGGCTGCCTCAGCTCTCCCAGCTGCCCATGTTGACCTCATGAGCCCAGTGTCTTATCTTTTCAGTACTCCCAGGCAGAGAAGCCTTGCCCAGCCCATCTCCCAACTCCTTCTTTCTGGGAGCTTACAGTTTGTATGTAGAGACTGGAAAAGACACAAGAAACATTTATTACTTATTTTTCGAGACAGAGTCTTGCTCTGTTGCCCAGGCCGTAGTGCAGTGGTGTGATCCTGGCTCACAGCAACCTCTGCCTCCCAAGTTAAAGCAATTCTCGGGCCTCAGCCTCCCAAGCAGCTGGGACTACAGTTGTGTGCCACCACAGCTGCTAATTTTTGTATTTTTAGTAGAGGTGAGGTTTCGCCATGTTAGCCAGGCTGGTCTCAAATTCGTGGCTTAAGTGATCTGCCTACCTCTACCTCCCAAAGTGCTGGGATTACAAGCGTGATCCACAATGCCTGGCCGAGAAACGTTTAAAGAACAAGTAAGAGGTGTGTATCACCCATGGTTCAGGAGCTCTGGGGAGAGTGGGGCAGGGAAGATCTTGGTGGTCAACAAGATCTTCCTAGAGTATGGGCAGGAGGAGGGCCGGGAGGAGAGAAACCAGGACAACAAAGACAAGAATATTTACAGACCAGCCTGATGTCTGTTCCCAGAATAACATCAAAAACCATTTTTTTTCAAAACCAAATCATGCTAATTGTAAACAAAAAATACATGTATGCAAAATGGAGAAAGAAAAGTCAGAGCTATAACCCATTACCCCCGAGATAACTGGGCTAGCTTTGAGATTCCAGACGTTTTCATGAATATATTTGTGCATATATTTACATATAGTTGTTTTCATAAAAGATTCTTCACTTTTGATAGTTTTTTCTGAAGTAGTTTTTCTTTTCCCTAATAAGAAGACTAGGTACCACTAGTATAACCAGGAGATAAATGAGTATCATGTGTAGTTTTATTAGTAGTAGTATATTATATAGAGTTTATTGTTGTCTTAATTGTTGTTTTTCATATGAATTGGACTTTTTTTTTTTTCTTTGTTTTGAAGGAAAGTTACCCATTCTCTATGAAGGGAGACTGGTGGGCAGGGAGGCATTCCCAAACAAATAGTAAAGATAACTAAAACCTATTTATTGCAACACCCCCTCCACTGAAGTCATTTGTTGCCTATTTAAGGAAAGAATTAAAAAATGAAAAGTGAAAAGAAGGGGGAAACCACACCAAAGGAAAGACTTATCACAGGGTCGAGGACTGCGCAGTTTTAGGAAACTAGGTGAAAATGAGTATCTTTATTTCTTCATTGTGTTGCTCCCAAAACTTTAGCTTTTTAACTAGAGTTTAAAATGCTTTGTTTTTATGAAATTACTCAGTATCCTTTTAGTAATTTATAAGATTACTCAATATCTTTTTCCGTTAAAAGATCTGTCCTAGGCCATATATAAATTAATGTTTGGTTAGGTGGCATCTGTCTTTGAAAATTGTGATATTAATTATTTGTCTTAGAGATCAAAAGGTAAATAACAGATTTGATATGAACCCAGTTGCTTAAAATACCTTTTCGTTCTTTGGTATAAAACAAACGTGCTACCAGCACTAACATTGTATTTGTTTTAAAGTATATCTCTGTAGTCTTAAAAATGCAAATAAATATGGCTTAAATTTGAAAAAAAAAATTCTTCTTGTGCACAGCAGGGTGAACCTCTTCCAATTTTACTTTCAGTTACTGACTAGCTGTCAACTCTCGCAATGTAACACGTTTTGTCAACTAATCTCCTGTTGTTGGACATTTCAGGTTCTTCTTCTCTTCTTATCATCTCTTTTCCTTCCTTCCTTCCTTCCTTCTTTCCATCTCTTCTTTTCCTTCCTTCCTTTCTTCTTTCCTTCCTTCCTCCCTCCTTTTCTCTATTTCTCTTCCTTTTTCTTAATTTCTTTCTGTTGTCTATTTTATTCCCTCTTGGCTTTTAGAGACAATTCTTTGAAAAATAGCTTATACATAACTATCTACAAATGTGCACAATTAATTCCTGAGGATAAATTCCAAGAAAAGGATTTCATGGTTATAGAACACGAATTTTTTTCTAAGACATCTGATATTTAGTGTCAATTTATTTTTCTATTAGGTTGGTGCAAAAACAATCACCATTTTTGCCATTATTTTCAATGGTAAAACTCGCAGTTACTTTTGCACCAACCTAATGTCATTTTTCTTAAAATTTTTAGAGGTCCCTTTATACTACACATATTTACCCTTTATCTGCCATTTCTGGTACCAATATCATTCCCAACCTCTCATCTGTTCTTTTTTTGTTTTGTTTTTGAAGTTTGTGCCGGTGGTGGGGCAGGGAATGGGGTTTCTATTTTGTTTTGGCATGAATGCACAAATTTAAAAGAGTATAAGCCAGGCTTCCCCCAAACTACGGCCCCCTGAGGCCATTTATCCGGCCCCCCACTGCACTTCAGGAAGGGGCACCTCTTTCATTGGTGGTCAGTAAGAGGAGCACAGTATGTGGCGGCCCTCCAACGGTCTGAGGGACAGTGAACTGGGCCCCTGTGTAAAAAGTTTGGGGATGCCTGGTATAAGCAGTCAAACTAATTAGACTTTCTATTCATGGTTTATTCTCCACAGTCAATACTCAACTACATTTTATTCCAGTATTTTTATTTGATTTTTTTCATGTTAAAACTTTTACTTTTATGATACATTTGGATTTTGGCAAAACGAGGTAAAGATCTGAATTATACTGAATAATGCTTATGCAGTTATACCAACATAATTAAATAATCCATGTTTTCTCCAGTAATTTCAACTATTGCCTTTATCTTTAGCATATATTTAATTATCATGGAACTTAGATCTATTTTTCGATTTTCTATTTTGTCCCACTGACTCATTTTGATAACAGTATCACATAATTTTAAATATTTTAACTTTATAATAAATGTTAATAGGCTAGGTGTGGTGGCTCACACCTTTAATCGTAGCACTTTGGGAGGCCAAGTTGGGCAGTTCACTTGAGGCCAGGAGTTTGAGATCAGCTTGGCCAAGATGGTGAAACTCTGTCTCCAAAAATACAAAAATTAGCCGAGCATGGTAGCACATGTCTGTAATCCCCGCTACTCAGGAGGCTGAGGAGGGAGGATCACTTGAACCTGGGAGGCAGAAATTTCAGTGAGCCAAGATCATGCCACTACACTCCAGCCTGGGTGACAGAGCGAGACTCCGTCTCAAAAATAAATAAAATAAATGTTAATAACTAGTAAAACTAGTTCACAGTCACTACTCTTCTATTTTAAAATTTCCTAGCTATTCTCTTGAAGTCATTTAAACTAGGTGTATTTCAGTATTAATGTGACATGTTTATCTCACAAAAATCTCACTTCAATTTTGACTGGTTCACACTTTTTTTGAGTATTAATAAGAATAATTTTAGTTTTTTTTAAAATAAGTGACTTCTGGCATCCTATTTAATGCTTTCCATTTTTTTCTATTATAAGACATTCTCCTTCCTCTAGACTTCAAGTGAGAATTGAAACAAGTTTTGCTAGAGATTATGTTATTTCCCCACCAAGTCTTTCAGGTAAGTAAAGAGAGAAGGTAAATTTGAGTATTTCTGTGGCTGACCCACTGAGATGCCCCTTTGTCGTTGGGAGGGGTAGAGAGGTGACAGCATTGTGGGAGGAGGAAGGGAAGGGTTGGGGCAGTGGAGTTTCCTGCTGTGAGAAGGATTTTATTATGTTTGTTTAGACAGCTTGAAATTCAGGGAGTAGCACCTGTTTCTCTGAGGAACAGGGCGCTCTAAGGAGCCTTCGGCAGCAAAGTTCCTTAGGTTGTACCGAGGTGGCTTCCTGTTGCCTTCCTATGGCAGTGGGGTGTTCTCAATTTGGTAGCACAGTAAATAGCCCACTGTCCAGGTTGAACCCCAAATCAATGAAATCAGAAGCTCTGGTATCAGTACTTTTTGTTTCTCAGGTCCTTCCAATGTCCAGGTGAGGTTGAGAACCACCAGAGAAATGACCCTCCCCGCCCTTTCCCTCAAGGAAATATTAAGGTTAAAGAGACTCAGCTGGTGAGGAAAGGGAAGCCGGTAATAGCAGGGGAGCGCTTCTTCCTCTTTAGGGAGTCAGCTCCTGTCCCGAGTGGTGACTTTGAAACGCTAGACCCATCTGCAGTATAATCTCTATGATCTATGCAATGTTTCTGGCCTCTGGACAGCTCCTTCCATGACTGACCCCACCCCTGCCTAAGTCTGTGTATTCCTCCTGTCATAATGATGAAAGCTGAGGGGTAGAAGGCTATAGATATTGGGGCTTAGTTCACTATTTTCAATTTGAACAGAACATTCAATGATTTCAAACAAAGCATAGGGGAATACAGGGCTTATAATACAGAACTTTTCATTTTTCTTGGGTCATGGAGTACAAATATGGGTAGGCAGGAGGGGGCTGAGCACTGAAATGAGGGCAACCTGAGCTGCGAGTCAAGGTCTACTTTATTAATGTGTAACTGTTTTAATGTGGATTATTAAAATAATTCTTATTCTTCTAGCATTTCTCCCACTACTAGTTTTTAACAGGGAAGGGGTCAGGTGCCAAACCACACGGCAGTCTCTGGAAGCATTTCGTTGAACACAGAATGTTACTGCTGGAATTGAATTTGGCAGCACTCCCTTTTTGAAGGGAAGTCATCAGTGCCTCTGAGAGGTCACCATGGCCTGGCCCCAGGGCTACCAGCTGAGCCAGAAACAGGAGGGCTCCAGACCCCAGGCCATCACCTACCTTGCTCCACGTCACCTCCTACATATCTATGACACCGCAAAGCACTGCCAAGACATTTCATA